GGGAAAGATTTGGACATATGGCATCCCCCCACTTTGCTGGGCTTTTTCTAAGGACATCATAGGAAAACAGTTTTGGGGATTACAGGAAAGCAGGGGAAAAATCCAGAAGGTGCACAAGAACAATATGGTGCTGTGTGGCAGCAATGGGGGAGAAGGAGACAGACCTAGCGAGTGGCAGCAAGCAGGGGAAGGACTCACCTTCGCTGGCCCTCTCCCTCGGCCACAAGGCCTACGCTTTGTCAGGGTGATAGCTTAGCGGGCTGCACTGCAGAGAAGGCTGCCCAGTGCCTTTCAAAGGCTCCCCCACCTTCCTTCAGCAGCAGCAGCAGCGCCAGGTAGGGTCTGGCCTAGAGGAAACGAGCTGCGGCTCCTGGAAAACTGGGCTCTCTCCTGAGGAAGACACTCCTGAGGAAGACACTCTTGGTTCCTGTGTGGGACTAACTGTCTCCTCAGTGGCTGTTGGTAGGCAAACAACTTCTGTCAGTAAAAAAACACTTTCCTGTCAGAATTAATTTAAAACGGCTCTCCTTTTTGCCTCCACCATGGCTGGCTGGTTAATGAGGTGGGCCAGCAGGTCACCACAGCAAATTGACTCTGAGTGCCCAAAGCCCGGGCATTCTCTCAGAGCCTCTTTCTAGAGCTCGTTGTATTTATTTCCACAATGGGCCTTATTCCTAGTCCAGTTATAATACTGATAATGTGAAATTTGAAACATGACATTTGTTGTAGGAATTCTAACAGAGAAGATTGTAGTGTAAGAAATGAAGTGAGACATTCATACCTTTTTTCTCTCTCTACTGAAGGACCTCTCTCTAGACCACATTGGTGGTTCTGCCCTAAGTTGCTAGGATCACCAGGTTGCTTGATGAGCTCACTCTGGAGTAGGCCACATAGAACTGTCCATTTAAGAAGCAGTCATCTGTTAAGTCAACTCCTGCCACCTTCCACGAAAGTGATGGCCTCTCTACTTGTGTTCCTGGATTGTTTTGCTTACATGGAGATTGTGTTGTTCTGAGAACCTCAGGATGATCTTGCTGGTACTTGGTCTGTGCAGCTCAGTGCACTACAGGAGTACATCTGCCTGTCAGGTGTGGGAAAAGATGTGGGATGCTTACAGCCTGTCTGGTGTTGGGGGGGATTGTATTTAAAGGCATCGGGGAGGCTGGGCCAGCAGCAGTGCTAAGGCAATCCTGCTGAGGAAACCCCCAGTGTAGGATGGGGAGGGGGGAGGAGTATTAGAAGTCACTGTGGAGGCAGGGCTGGCAAGATCACTAAGGCATTACTTTTGGGCAGGCTTACTCATGGCTTTAAGCACCCTGCAGTCGCTGCTGCACCTGACAGACAACCACCTGTTAGGTATAGGAGGGGGGGAGTGTGTTGTTCTGAGCACCTCACGGTGATCTTGCTGGTACTTGGCCTGTGCAGCTCAGTGCACTGCAGGAGTACTATGTGCAAATGTCTTTGCCGCATTCCTAAGTTGCCTCCTCCTTGTAGCGTTGGTGTATCTGGCTGGTTAGTTTTGAACTTCCAGGTGGCACCTGGAGATCTCCCACCATTATAATTGACCTTCAGATGATCAAAATCAGTCCTCCTGGAGAAAATGGCTGCTTTGGAGGGTGGACTCCATGGCATTAGACCCTGCTGAGGTCCCTCCCCTCCCCAAACCCCGCCCTCCCCCGGCTCCACCCCCCCAAAAATCTCTAGGTATTTCCTAACCCAGACCTTTCAACCCTTGTTGAAGGGAGAAAGCACCCTGAGACCCTGGAGAGAATTTTGGCTGCCGAGTGGACAGCTATAGGCTCCATTCAGAGGTTCTGGACAGTGTATTAGTAGGAATCATAATTCCCACCTGCTGTGTGCAAAAGGTTTTTCTTCTGCAGATGTGCATAGTGGCCTTTCCTTAGCTGGTGGGAAACCACAGCTAGCATCTGTGTATCTAGGAAGCCCCAGCGTGACATTTTTTTAAAAAGTCATCTTACTCAGTCAGAGTCAAATGCACAGTCAAATAGAGAGGTGCCCTCATTTATAAAATTTTTTTTTAAAAAAAGAGGAGCTCCAAGAACAGTTTAAAATAAATTTCAACCAACCTGATGCAAGAACTTACTCGCTTGCTCTTTTCACGAACGACCTCATCATCACAAAATATTCTGTGATAGTAGTGATACAGTTTGCGTAATTTTTTTTTTTACCTGAAAATCTTCCTTGGGAATAGCGTCCACCCACTTCTCAGAGATGGGCAGATGAGGGTAGGAATTGCAAAGGATTTCGAGGATCTCTGGCACGGAGGCACAAGATTTCAGCACCTAGTGTAAAAAGAATCAGGTGTGCTTTAAAAAACACACACACTCTGGTGTACATTTACCAGCTTCTGAGATCTGACAAGATTGGGGTATACCACATCATTCCACATCCATGTGTGTGTATGGGGGGGGGGAGAGGGGATAAACAACCGTTCCTGAAGCTGATTCCTGATTTGCAAATTAATAGTTTGTAAGCCAGAATGACATTGCACCACCAGACCACAGAAGACATCCTAGGATGCCTTCTTTCCCATTTAATATTGTTTGAGGTTTAATGAGGGCAGGATATGGGAAGAGGGGTACCTCCGGCCACCCCAGACCTAGAAACCTGCTTTAAGTACAATGGTGCATTGGGCTCTGGAAAATGGCCGTCTGTTCCTATGAAGTGACAGCTATGTGTCAAAGTGGATTTTGCGACCAGCCCCTGAAAACTGAAATGTGTGGTCTATATTATTTACAACCTGATATTTGAGTTGTAGACAGTTTGTGGGGATTATTACTATTATTACTACTACTACTATTATTATTATTATTATTGACAGGGCTATTTTTGGGCAGGAACGCACAGGAACGGAGCTCCGGCTGGCTCCTGAGTTGGCCACACCCAGCAGGAACTCATTAGCATAATAGGCCACACCCAACAGCAGAAACTCATTAGAATTGGCTACATTAGGGGTGTGTGGCCTAACATGCAAAGGAGTTCCTGCTACAAAAAAAGCTCTGTGTTTTGACAACAAGGTAAACAGAATAAGAAGCAAAAGGGGTGTGTGGCTGGATGACCACACTTCTGGTAGCATGGGGGTGCGGCCTAATATGCTAATGTGCTGTGCTGTCAAGGGTGTGGCCTAATATGCTAATGAGTGTCTGCTGTTGGGTGTGGCCTATTATGCTAATGAGTTCCTGCTGGGCTTTTTCTACAAAAAACCCCTTGATTATTGAAGTGATATAATTAACTGGATAAATTGGTTGACAGCCCTGACTTGGATGGCCCAGGCTAGCCTGATGTTGTCAGGTTCAGAAGCAGGGCCAGCCCTGGTTAGCACTTGGATGGGAGACCACCAAGGAAGTCCAGGGTTGCTCTGCAGAGGCAGGCAATGCCTCTGTGTCAGCCACCCTGAGCCTGCTCTGGCGGAGCAGGGCGGGATATAAATTAGAATATAAATAAAAATATAAAATAACCACGTCTGAACAGCTCTTGCCTTGAAAGTCCTACAGGGGCTGCCACCAGTCAGCTGCATCTTTATGGAAATTTCCATCACCAGCCTGGCTGACATTTGTGGGTAAAGAACAGAGAATCATGCAGAGTGCTTCTTGAACACTGGAGAAATATCGATGATGGCTTATTTTCATATGACAGGGTCAGAATCACTCAATCTCCCTTCTTCCTTAAAAAAAGTTAGAATCCAGGAATATTGTGCCAGGTGCCAGATTTGGGGAAGAACTTGATATAAGCAGAATCTGAGCCGAGTAGGGCTTTTCAAACCCATTCTTGAGAGGGAAGATCTAGCAGCTTGACAGTCCCTTCCTTCCTGACTTAATAACCACACAGACTAACAAGCCAGGCCCACCTCCTTTGGACCAGAGATCCCCACATCATTAAAACGGCGATTCTTGCAACCCCTGGAAGGTGCTGGATTCATGGCCTCTGAGGCTCTTGTCACTGGCTTTTCAAAATCAGAGACGCAGGTCAGGGGGCCAGGATGAGCGCATCCATTAAGACCAACCCTGCAACTTGATTTCCCAATGAGAGATATTTAACGGGGAGAAACAGTTTTCTGTGAGTGGGCCCAGAGTTTTACAGTGCATTGAGGGTTATATCATTTAGATGTCTGAACATTTCTGCAACTTTTCTCCAGTTCCCCCAGGGTCATTCGTAGGGTTCCTAACCTCCAGGTGTCCCCTGGAGAGCTCCTGCTATCACAACTGATCTCCAGATGGCCAAGATCGGCTCCCCTGGAGGAAATGCCTGCTTTGGAGTGTGGGCTCTGTGGCATTATACTCTGCTGAAGTCCCTCCTCTCCCCAAACCCCACCCTCCCCTGGCTCTGCCCCCAAAACCTCCAGGTATTGTCCAACCCAAAGCTGGCAACCCTAGTCGTTTGCAAGTTCATAGGCAGAGTTCTTTCTCTGCTCAGGTTCCATGCTCTGCAGCATCACTTTACCAGGCCATTCAGCTTACAAAGCTACACAGAGCCAACTGTTGCAAGTTTAGAAGAGAAATACTCCTCTCTCTATTTAAGAAGCACACTTTTCGATAGGAAAGAGTAGATACAGGATAGCATACTAACTTACTAGCTAAGGATGGAAGCAGATGGCGAGAGGCCCATTTGCCTCATGGTGCCCAGAGAGGACAGCATGTCGTCCCTCTCTGTGTGTGCAGGGAGAAGGGGGGAGCTACATCTGAGAGAGCGGGAACGGAAGGAGGGGGAATGGTCCCTGAGAACACAATCTACGTTTCACAGGGGACAGTGGCAGAAGACTAAGCACAGGAAGAAAGGTCAGGGTGCCTCTCTAGCTATCTCTCTTGCCACAAAGTCTGGAGGCTGAGTCAGGGGACATCGCACCGGGAACTCCCAACAAGGCCAACAAGATTTTCAAGGCACAAGCGTTCAAGAGTCAAAGCTCTCTTCGTCAAGCTCTCGAAAGCTTCTACCCTAAAAATCTCACTGGTCTCCAAGGTGTGGCTGGGTTCGAATCCAGCTGCTCTACTGCAGACCCACACGGCTTCCCTTGGAAACGAAAGAACTTTGATACCTTGACGAAAGCCGTCGGCCATATTTTTGGCGAGCCGTGGTTCATCAGGGTCTGCACCGTGCGGTGCGGTCTCAGCTCTCGTTTGAAAGCCCCCGCCTGGAGGACGCAGGACAGCGGAGTCGCCCCATTGTAGTCCAGGGCGTTGACGTCCGCTTGCTTTTGCAGCAGGAGAAGAACCAGGCTGTGATGGGCGTTCTTGCAGGCCTGGTGAAGCGGGGTCTTCATCTCCTCATCCTCAGAATTCACCTCGGCTCCGTACGAAAGCAGCAGTCGGCAAACCCGCAAGTAGCTTTCTTGGGTCTCCCTCTCCTTCGCTTCTCTGCAGGCGAGGCCGAGTGCTGTCTCCCCCAGGCTGTTCTTGGCGTCCACCGTAGCGCCATTTCTGAGGTACAGGTGGGTGTGCTCATACAGGCCGTGCTTGGCTGCGGTGTGAAGAGGGGCTTCCTGGGTCTCTTCGCTGGGCTGGTTGACCCAGGCGCCAAAGGCCACCAAAGCTTTTGCACACCTTCAAAGTAGGGACATCAGAATTACACGGACAAGAAATGGAGCGGACAAACATTAACCCGCTAGCGCGTTACATTGTTCTGCTCCTCAAGGCTTTCCTTTGTGATGATGCGTAGTTCTACAAATATTCCAGAAGGCAGGATAAGAGGCAAAGGCAGAGGTCATTTCGGGGGGGATCGCAGTTCCTCCGGGTGAGGTACAGGGGACAGGGCACATGACGAAGCCCCGCCCCCTGCTTCCAGCCGCCCCACTTCCGGCCCTCATTCAGCCAGGAGGAGGCAAGGAGGAGGGTAAGTTGCTTCCTCCCTGCCTCTCCCCACCCCTGCCTGCCTGGGGCCAGGGAGGGCCTTCGCGGGGCTTCCTTGCACTCCCGCCGGCCTTGCAGGTCCACCGCCAGGGCCCTCAT